GGTGAGGGACAGCAGCTGTTATCTCCCTCCTCTCCAGAAACAAAGAAATCTGCACACAGGAGTAATGGCAGCCCAATTCCTGGAGACTTTTTTTGGTTAAATTCCCTGAAGAAGGGAGTCAGCAGCTGTCAAGTACAGTGGCAGTGTGTCAAGGGACCTGTTGGTGTAGCAGTTTGTTCTGTTTAATGTAACCTCCCAAGCCATTTGGTGCTGTTTCATCTGGCTCCTCCATAACCTGAGCATCTTTCTGTCCCAGTGTCCAGGGAATTTAGATTTGAACAGCATTTGCAAAGCAGCACGAGCTTTCAGTGGAAGGGGAATTCTTTGTTTAATTGACCACTGACTAAACAGCCACTGGCTCTTTTTTATCCTCTCCATGTCAGTATTAGAGCTTCCTCCCTTTCTGCAGCCCAGGTTTTTCTGGGCTGTTGTTTCTAGCCAGCATTAGTAGACACAGTTCTAAGGAGGGAAGAATTTGTTCATGCCATTCTCCCCTTCCCTTCCAGGGTCTATTTTCAAAGGATTCCAAGAGGCTGATATCCATTTCCGTCCTTCCTACAAGTTTGACATAGGAAAGGACAGCTATGACACCACCTCCAAGCAAAGGACTCCCTCCTACACGGTAAGGGATGATTTCAGGAGTCCAAAGGAATTCAGTTGTGCTGAGATTTGTTGCTTAAGGGCAGCTGGGATTTCTGAAAGAAAGGATTGTAGAATCTGTGAGCACAGGGAGAGTTTGGCACAGACTGTTAACCTTATTTTCCCTGTCTGAGTGGGCTCTCCCCTGTGCTCAGAGCTGGCACAGAACTGTTGGGATCAGACAACGAATGGATCCCCATCCAAGGGCACGTTCATTTCACCAAGTGGAGGGTGATGAATGAATGAATGAATGAATGAATGAATGAATGAATGAATGAATGAATGAATGAATGAATGAATGGATTTGTCTCTTGTGCAGCAGTGCTGCTCTCCAGGTGGGTGATGTGCAGTCACCTTCCCTGTCCCCTCTCCCCACCTCCAGGACCGGGTCGTGTTCCGCAGCCGCTACAAGGACGACATCCAGGCTGTCAAATACTCCTCTTGTCCTGTCATCAAAACCTCAGACCACCGACCTGTGTTTGCCTTGTTTCGTGTCAAAGTGAGGCCTGGCAGAGACAAGTGAGTACCTCCTGCAGCTCCCCATGCCTGATTGCTCCAGTGACCCCGAGGAGATCCTCCTGTGTGTGTCTATCCCTGCAGCCTGGTTGGGTTTTACCCAGTACATGCTGGTGGCCAGAGCTTAAACCTTGCCCTGACAGCTGAAATCCCTGCTGCCAGGTCTCTTAATCCTTCTGAGGGGGATAAACAGAGCCCACTGCAATTGAATGTAAATCTGTTTTATCTGAGATGCAGCTCTTTGTTTTCCCTATCAGCATGGGCAGCTTTCCTCTTCTCTTCCTCTTTCTCTGTTTAGGCTCAGTTCTGTTTTCCCTCCCCAGTGGTGGCTGCAGTTCAGCACAGCTGGATGTCAGTGGAGTATTTTGAGATCCTCCAACTTCCTAATGTCCTATATAGGCTGTTGTATTAGTAGAACTCCTTAGGAAATTTGTTTTGGAATTATTCCCTTTTTTGTGAATAACATGGTCAGGGATTTCAAGACCTGAATATCTAAAAAAGTGATTTCTCAAAGTATCTGATCAGCAGTGCAATTACAATGGGAATTTTTGTTTCTGGGTACTAAATACCCATTAAATAGCAGTGTGTGATGGGCTGCTCAGGTTTCCTCTCTAAAACAGACCAAGGTAAGAATAGTTGAGATGAACCACACCAGTGAGTACACCAAGTTAGCTGTAACCTGGTGTAGCTTTTCAAATGAGTGGGTTTTAATTCAGAGTCATTAATAAAGTCCTCTATATATAAAAGCAGGTGAGTTCATGCTAAAATTTAAAGTGCATTTCCCTTTTACAACCAGCATTTAGAGTATTGTGAAAAACCTTAACTTGTTGCTGTGGAAGAACAACACTTTCTCCCACAGCAGTTGCTGAATGCCTTAAGAAAGTAAAAATCAGATTTGTGGCCTTTGTTGTATGAAGTAGTAGGGAAATGCTGGGCAAACAAGAACCTATTTCTGCCCTGACCTGCTGGCTTGTGTTCCTGTTGCAGCATCCCCCTGGCTGCAGGGCTGTTTGACAGAGATCTGTATTTAATCGGAATAAGGAGGCGGGCCACAAGGGAGCTTCTGAGACTCCGGGAGCAAAAGGACCAAAGATCCAGCAGCATATGTAGCATTTCTTGAGCTGAAAGCTCTGCAGTGCTTGTGGTAGAGGTGCCCCAAAAGAGGATTTCAGACCATGGCAAACTCTGCAGGGAATTGTCTGCATAAGCACCTCTGGCAGTTGCTGTGGCTTGTGAAGAATGTCTTAAACCTCATCCTGGATTCATTTGCATGAGCTAATCCATGTAGCTCAAGTGCTTCTGCCTAAGAAAAGGAGTCAGTTCTTTAAGACATCCATCCCAACTGGTGTAATTGGTTTATTTTTAACCAGACTATCTTAGGAAGCCACTGGGTGCAGCCCCTTGGTTTCCCTCCATGCAGGGGCACAGCTGCTGGAACTGCATCACCCAGAGGGGCCCTAAGAGAAGCCTGCAGAAGAGTGAATTCTTCGTTTGTCTCTTTGGTTTGGTCAGGTTAACTTCCATCCAGTGTGGGGTTGGGTTTGCTCCTTCTCTGTAGCCAAGTGTTGGTATTGTGTACAGGCAGTAACAGGGACCAGTTCATGGCAGTTGTGTGTGTGGATGGTGCTCCTGTGCTGGGCTTGGGTCCTCTACAGCAAATTGTTTGTGAATGTACTCCTGTACATTGAAGTGTAGAAACATTGCCTTTCAATAATTGTTCTATAGGCCTTCTGTTACTAAGGGGGTAAATACCAAACTCTCAGGCCATATATTTGTCTGCTGAGACTGCTTGAAGCCATCCCTTCCTGAACTCACTTGTCCTGCCCAGGGCTCATTAAGCACTACCTGCCTTCAGCAGCAGGAGCTGGAATTTATCTGAGAACAGGCACTGTGTGATGCTTCACCAAAGTGATGCAAGTGAGTGCACCAGGGAGGTTTGCAGAGCAACTGCAGCCACTCAGCTCCACACAGCTCCATTACCTCCAATCACAGTCAATTCCTTTTGGCTTTATTTTTCCAGATCAGTAAACTGTGAATAACTTGCTATTTCTGAGGTAGTGTTGTCTTAAGGCTATATATACTACAAGGACCAGTATGGCACTGGTAAAATGTTAAGTACAGCTAATAATTAAGAACTCCTCATGGGCACAGATGGGATCATTAATCACTTTAGGACCTAAAACATCATGCAAACACCTTGGAGGAAGTGCTGCTGACTATGCAACCTGTCCAAGACAGGCTCCTGTTCTGCGGTACATTTATGGCACTGACCTGTCTGTAGCCATCAGGTATTTGGATTTCCTTTCTTTTTAAAGGAATAAAAATAAATTAATGCAATACCTTAAGTGAGAACCAGCTTTTAGTGTTGTCAGAACCAGAGTTCTTTGTGTGGTGTGTGTTTGGGTGACCTGGGCCATGTCTCCAGCTGGAGGGGTGGGACAGATTTCTCTGTAATTGTTTGCATTGAACAGAGCATGCTCCACTGGCCAGCTCAGGAAACCCTGGCAGATGAATTTCAGAACTCTTACTACTTGCTCAGTTGTTCAGAGGTCTCTTTATTTCCTCACAAACATACACAACAACTGAACAGGACTTGCACACTGTGGGCTCTGCAGGAAGCAATGCAACGTTGGAGTTGCATGAGGAAAGGATGGGGTAAAGGAGGTACCAGCAGCCTCACAGTGCTCTGCTCCCAGCTGCACTGCTCCTTACCAAACACAACCAGCACTCAAGAGCTGCAGGGCAGCTCTCTTGTGTTTTTAAACCCATGTATTAGGGGATTTAAAATCCAGTGTTTTATTCCTCTTTTGAGTCTCCATTTCTTTAGCATGTCACACATGTGGCACTTGGCTTTCTGTGACGTGGTGTCAGTCAAGATTGTGTTTCTAAATGTTGTGATTTTGTTATCTTGACTTCCAGCTGAGCCACATTTCTGCTGTGAGACTGGTTGTGTCTTCCTTTTGCAAGGCCTTAAGTCCATCTGGGTGACACTGAGGAAATGAGGCACAAGTTTAAGGTGCAGCAGCAGCAACTCCTTTAATAACTGTTTGTAAAGCAACTCTGGAGGAAAAGAACTTTTATTCTTTAGCACAGTTCATGTTCAAGTGAAAAACCTAAAGAATAGGATCAACCTCATTCTCAAGTAAGTGTCCATTATGTACAGTACCTCTGCAGAGGAACTCCACAGAAAATTGGTTCTGTCATGGGGCTGCTTTCCTTGGAACTCTGGCAAGACGATGAAGTTATTCCCAGGTAGGCAATTCCTTGTCAGATGGTGAATGGATCCGTGATTTGTAACAAAATCTGGATTGCAGGAAACTTTCTGGCTAACTTCACAGGGACAGTAACTATTATTTTCCTAATTCAGTTTGACCAAGTCTTGGTTCACCTTGGTAACAGTTATAAATATTCTCTGAATTGAGACATGGAAGCCAAGCTGTTTAAGGTGCCACACATTGCTCAGGAAGGGCACAGTGGGGCCTCGTGTGACAGCCCCACTTCCACTGCTGGGCGATGAAGAGGCAGTGACTGCTCAGAGATGTGCTTTCACTGTAGTGATGAACATTTTGGCTTGCTCTGTTCTCCCCAAAGCCAAGAGAAGGGTGTCAACACCCATCTTCCCTTGTAACCTACTCAGAGGGTCAGACTCCTCCTCCAGGGGCAGCGCTGGCTCCTTACACGAGCTCTTCACACTCCAGTGCTCCAAAGCAGCTTTGCTCAGCTCCACGCTTGCACAGAATGCCTGGGAGCATTGGGGGCAGGGAGGGTGGTACAGCAACATGAGAATGAAAAAAAAACCATTAAAAAAGAAGGGATTTGAGGGCAGGCAGGAGGCGCCGCTCGCTCTATCGGAAGAGGCGGTAGAGCCGCGGGAGCCGCCCGTCCTTGCTGGAGAGCGCGGCCTGGATGTGCTCGTACGTGGGCAGGTCTGTCAGGTCCCCCAGGGCAGCCACTGCTGGCTTCTTGTGCAGCATCTTAGTCACCACCCTCTTGATATCGCTGGGTTTCACCTGACCTGCAGGCAGAAGAAAGGCAGAGCTGTGACACCTCCATACGAACAGCACAAAGCAGCTTTGGGCCCGTGCTCAGAAAACCAACTCCGTATCTTCTCTACCATGATTTGTTATCCCTTCCTTCTGACCAAAATAAGCCCTGTGCTGTAATTGTGAAAGCAATTAAGCTCAGTTTGAAATGTATTTCTGTAGTACTTTCAGAGGTAATTCATCAGTGCTACAAGAGTATTTTAACTGTACCCACAGCTCCCTTGAGGCAAGGCAAAGCATTGGCTACTCACTGATGAGGTCACAGAGCTCATGAGGTAGCTTCCTTGTGTTTGTTGCCAAAACCTGCCTCCCCACATCTTCAAAGATCACTGGCCGAGACTCCAGGTTCATCATGAGCATGGACTTGAGCTGTGTCTTTGCTCTCTCAAGTTCAACCTGTGAATGAGCAGGAAATTTAAAAAAAAAAAAATTAATTGCTGCTCTGTAGTACAAGGTAACATGGAGGAGTTCTGCAGAAACCTCTCTCTGTGGATGCATTGCTAATGTTGCTGTATTCTTTTACAGAAATACATAACAAAATTATCTATAAAAATCCATTCTAGCACAGTCAATGCAATGCATTCACAGAATCCCAGACTGGTTTGGGTTGGAAGGGACCTTAAAGCCCATCCAGTGCCACCCCCTGCCAGGGGCAGGGACAGCTTCCACTGTCCCAGGGTGCTCCAAGCCCTGTCCAGCCTGGCCTTGCACACTTCCAGGGATTCTTTCAGCTCAAAGACCATCTGCAAACTCAAATGTGCTGCTGACCTCTCCCACTGCTCCTGCCATGAGGATGAATTCCCTGGTGATGATTTCCACCATCTCCCGAACCTGGGGAAAGCAGATGATGGAGAGAAGATCAGAACAATGCTGCTTGTGTCCACAGAACCCTGGGACTGCTGTGGGTACTGGTTAAGGACTCCTGTCTCTGAGCACAGCACTCTGTACCTGTTTTGGATCTGCACTGGCATGGATGCACAGCAGACCTGTGTCCTCATAGCTGTGGTGGTAAGAGGTGGCATTGTACATCCAGTGGTGCCTGTGAGTATAAAACAGTATTTCAAAATTTAAAACCCAGAATTTACAACGGGAAAATTAAACATGGACAGTGAGCACCCTCCCAGTGCATTCTCAGGATTCTCAGCAGTGCAGTGAGAATTGTCACTCCCTGCTTCTGACAATTTGTGCATGTGGCATCTACTCCCTTCTCTCCATTTCAGTCCTTGAATCCAGGAAAATACAGAGCCAATCCTGTTAATATTCCCTGATTAAAGCATGAACAGGGCTAGCAGAAGAAAACACAACTCCTGGTCATTTCTGCCCTTTACTTTCACCCTCTCAAAATCCCAAATGACACACCAGTCCCATGATCCAAGCAGAATGAACTGATATAAAAAATCCTGCTGGGATTTGCTTTTTTTCCATGTAAAACTGCTACAGGATTGTTCCTGGCAGCCCTTAAGCAGCAAGACAAACCCACCTGTTGAGCACATTGAGGTAGAGCCGGGTGAACATGCCCTTGCCAGGCCCTCCAGCTGAAAAAGAGCCACCACCTCCCATCATCATGTTCAGCACAGCAAAAGGAATGAAATCGTCCTCCTGCATTGCAACAACAAAGCCAGGTCATGGCAGAGCTCCCGAGGGTCTGGGGTGAGGAAAAGGGAGGGAAAAACACAGCACAAGAGCAGTGGGAGGGGCAAAACCTTCAGCAAAGTGTGGTGGGAAATGCTGATTGTTTTTGTGTGCAGCAGCAAAAATGTCAATGTTTGTGGGGTGAGTCAGTGTTCCTGGGATTCTCCAAGGAACAGGTTTATGTACTCCAAGTATAGGGCATGCAAAAAGGGATTTTAGGTTAATACTTACTAAAAATGAGCAGCTTTCTAAGCCAATCATGATGTGGGTGAGCTCTGGGATGGGAGTAGGGCCCAGGCTCACATCTGACATGTCTTTTTCAACCTGTGGCAAGGGCAGACAGATCATTAACACCAATTTTCACAGCTCTTGTACCCAGTTTGATGTATTCCAAATAATCACCACACCACCCAATTTACAGCTGTCATGGCCAGTTTGAGGCTCATACTCATGAAATACAACTCAAGAAAAGCAAAAGCCTGCAGAGAAATGAGTAAATTTCTCTGCCACCTGCACACGCACCTTGATGATGCCTCCGGTGTACTGAGCCACGGACCTGTCCACAGCCCTGCCCTGCCCCGAGCCCCACACGGGCTCCACGCCCAGCAGGTGTTTCCTGGCACACTCCACCAGCTGCTCGTGCTCAATGCCCACCCCAGCCAGCACCATCCTGTCTGGGGTGTAGTAGCTGCTCAGGTAGGAGTGCAGCACGGCACGGTCGATTTTGTCCGTGTTCTCCACGGGGCAGAACCTGTTCAGCCCCACTGTGTTGTCCCTGAAGGCTGCCTAAAAGGGAACAGACACATTAAAGTCACAAACATTTTTCTCTAAATCTCTTTTTGCTTTGGAAGTAAGCTCACATCTGAGAGAGGAAAAGCTGAGAGTATTTCAACTCAGTTTTGTCACCCGCATCAACAAAGGGAAGTTACAAATAGAATTATTTTGCAGTTTGGGTTAGAATCTTCCACATGTGGAGAATGCTGGATTTCAAAGTGAAGGGACAGCCAAATTCTCCCATCACAGAAACTGAATAACAGAAAATCTGGTTTTAGAACAGGCTAAAATAAACCCTGAAACTGCTAAAAACCATGAGGAATGCAGCAGGGTGGAATTGCCAGTGTGTTACCGCGTGGATCATTTCTGTCAGCAGAGGCTCGGGGTCAGGTCTCATGTTCAGATCCTCCAGCTCAAACCTGATGGCCATTCGGGTCATCTCAATTTCTTCATCTGCAATGAGACAAAGAAAGACATGAAACCCCTACAGAAAACCCCCAGCTGCTGCAAGTTCACTTCAGAGAGAATTCTGAGCTCTCAGGAGCAAGCCATGAGATGGAAATGGTTTTCTTGAGATAAGGATTGTGCTGCCAGACCTGATAACCTGGGCTGCAGGGTTACATCAGCCAGCAAGTTGACCACGGTGTCCAGGCCCCTGGCATCAGCAGACACTGCATACATGATGGTGTCCCTGCAATACACAACAGGTTCTGCACTGAGACATCACCTCTGGGGCTATCAGTGTCATCTCAGCACCAGGAAATCACAGATGAAGCTGTTCTAATCATTAAATGCTTCACAAATGAAATAGATATGAGTTTTATCATCCTTTCAGGCTCACTTTTGTAGCTTCCCAGCAGCCCAAACAAACAGATTTCTGCTGCCTGGGAACAAAAAGTGGCTTTTCCTGCCCCACAGCATGAAAAGAGATTCAAAGTGCTGTCAGTGCTACAACACCAGGTAAGAGCAGAAGGATCAGAAGGATCAGCTCACCTCGATGCCTGGCAGTCACAAATGCCTCCATGCTTCTCCAAGGTGAGGAGAATTTCATCTTTGCTGCCAAACTGAGCTGTGGACTAAGGAAAAAGATACCAGTGTTATTAATTAGTAAAGCAACAACTGTTTATAACCCTTCAGTGTAACCCAGAGCATCTCTGACATTCTTTCAGTCCTAGAGTTTGATCACTACATGTCAGCATTGGAGATGAAACCACAAAGACTATTAAAATGTAATCACAGTCATGCTAATTAATAAGCAATTAGGGTTCTGTGACTTCATCGATGCTGTCACCACTAGGAGCTAGGAGCCCTGTGGCTCAGCCCTCTTGGCTGCTCTGTGCAGATTTGGGGATGCAGGGCAGCACTCACAGAGAACGCCAGCTTCTCCAAGAAGTGCGAGATACCACTGAGATATTTCGCTTCGTGTCTGGATCCCGAATTCACCAGAACTGCAGCAAAGAGAAGAACAAACCAGCGACACTTTAAC